TCGCCGAAACGTAATATGAAATAAACATTTTCATTTCACATTTTGACTGAAACCCAGGAAGGAAAAGAATATAATAACAATTACACGCAGTCAGGAAATTAAATTGAAAAATCCTTTAGTCTTCTTTGCCTGCTAACTTAAAATCCACCCGACTTCATTCATAATAAGTACACGTTTTCGCTATTGAAGAACCGACTCAGTTAAATAACATCATTGTATGTTATTAATTCTAATTAACAGGCGCAGTCTTACTTTCTACACAGCGAACATTTGGGGCACGAAAAATGAATGGACTGCGTAACAATTAAAGGCAAAAATTAAAAAGAAGCTCGCGAAATAAAAAATAAAAAGTAGGTAACAAAATTGCGTCGAATCACTCCACTTTCACCCAACATTGATCTTTTGCAAAGATCATTAACCCACTTTGCTCAACGTCTTGGACATTATGTAGCTAATTGCCAAACGAGCTTTAATCTAAGCATAATTTAAAATAGAACTGTTAGGTAAGGTTGGTTTTACACATTTGGTGATTACTAAAGGTTTCCTATCACTGTTAAAGTCCGCATGCAGCAACAATTCCAACGAGAATTTCAAAATATTTACATGCGATTTTGCAAAGCTCTTAACTGCAAATAGTGGAACTTGAAACAGGCTTGGACTATTGCGCAAATTGTACACAGTCAATCTTGACCAGCTTCGTAATTAAATGCGTTAAATCAAGCGGCTTCAGTTTATTAACACCCAAAATGCATGATGATTTTATGTATCCAAGTTGCAAGTGGATTTCAGTTAACTTGACACGCTTAAAAGTGGAAAAACCCCGACTAGTTCTCAAATACAGTCCACAGCTTACAATAATGTGTGTGGCGAAATGCACAAGTGTTCAATGTGAAGAAATTCAAGAATTTAATCGTTACATAATTCGAACAATAGTAGGAAATAGTGTGGGAGGTTAACAGAAGTTATACAATTAGTAAAAAAGGGTTTTCCTTCAATTTTTGTGTCCCTTTGTTTTATCCCTGCATTCTTACTGCGCTCGGTCTCAACCAACATCGTCTCCCTCTAAAACTGGGCTCGTTATTGCGATTTTAACTGTAAAAATTACTTCGTTAAAAAATGGGAATAAAGTAGACTGGTTCGGCCAAAAATCAACGTTTCAAATTTGTGTTCGAGCCTGATCCATAGCTTTGTTCGTTTAGCAGTTCTCGATTCATGGCGAGGAAAAAGTTGTATCGTTTGTGGCATTTTCAGCTATTCAAGCAGGGGCGGATCCAGCTTTAAATTCAGGGGGGGGTGGGGTATGTAGAAAAAATACAGTCTTCTGTTGTCTATGAAATTAGAAAAATTATCGTCGTTTTGTGCAAGGGTGGCGAAAGGTTATTGCAAAATTTCATGTTTTCTGTCCCATTTTTGCTCATATCTCGGAGGCAAAATGAGCAAGAACGCTCGTTTTTACATCATTCCAAAGAGAACTAAATGGCCTTTTTAGAAAGTGAACCATCGATAAGGAAATATTGCAGTT